TAGTTACCAACGGACAAATGTTAAGGTTGGACTCTCCATCAATAAGGACTCTGGTGATAAAATAATCTTCGCATTGCACGGTGATGTGCGACGCCTTATTGTGACTAAACCCTTCTGGTGGCAACTCATCTTCATGAAAAGTGATCTTGTGACTTTCCAATACCTGCCCTACCATGTTTGCCATTTCTCCTCCGGTGATGTTGCTTGGTACATATGCCTCACTTAGTACCTTTAACAGAGCATTCTTGTGTGCCTCAGAATTTTGTAGCAAAGCAAGTATGGAGATCTCCGCCGGTGTTTTGTTCAGCTGGTCGATGACCGAGTATTCCTTGGCTTGTATCTTTCTCCAAAGATCGTCTGGACCCGTCTCAATGATGGGCGACCAATTGGAGGCCTGCTTGCTTGACTCAACTAGGTTTTGCGGGGTATAGACCCTACCAGTTCTTGTCATACCTTGTGCGGCAAAAATTTCCTCGAACCTAATGTTGCCTTTACTCCTTGCTTCAGCTATATAGTCCCATGGTATAGCCTTTGTGTGGAATGGCATCACGACTGACATTGCTATTGGGATCGGCGTGGCTATCTTCACCCCGAACGGAGCATGTTCCTTGGGTGGTAAAACTGCAACTTCGGATGGTATAGGTGCATTTGTTGGTGACATAAATTTGACCTCAATTGGCGTTGGCGGCTTTGCAGAGGATGGTGCTTCAAACTCAAGTGGAATGGACATATTTACCTCGGTATCCCCAGAAGGCTGAATTTGGACTACAATCAGATTAAGGGTGACTATTGTCTCCTTTAGATCGTCGCCTTCTGTGATCACTCATGTGAACGACTCCACTCTTATGGTCTGGCAGAGGGTTATTGCGAACATTTGGAGTAGGTTCCTTTGCCACAATAATTTTGTCGTTAATCAGAGCTTGGATCTTGTCTTTCAAGGAGCGACATTCGTCGATGGTGTGTCCTTTCATGCCGGAATGGTATGCACAGAATTTGTTTGGATTAACCCACTGAGAAGGGTTCTCGGGAGTTATAGCAGGGATAGGGGTGACATAACCAGCAGCTTTGAGCCTCTCGTACAATTGGTCAATGGGTTCGCCAATGGTTGTATACTGTTTAGGAGGTCTGCAGTCAAAATTTGGTCGAGATCTAGGGAAGTTTTGGCGTGTAGGAGGTGATTGATGGTGGGATGGTTGAGCATTGTAGGCTTGGTAAACATGTGCGGGTTGGGAATGTAGAGGTGGCGATCTTTTAGCCCATGAGATGCAAATGTAGAGGTGGCGATCTTTTAGCCCTTGAGATGCAAATGTAGAGGTGGCGATCTTTCAGCCAATGCAAACATATATAAGGTGGCGATCTTTCAGCCAATGCAAACATAAATAAGGTGGCGATCTTTCAGCCAATGCAAATATAAATGAGGTGGAGATCTTTCAGCCAATACAGATGGAGGTAGAGCTTAACTTCGGAAGGCAGAATGGTAGCCTTATGCAACGCAGAAATACAGGTGGAGACAGAGCTTAGTCTCGGAAGGCAGAATGGTAGCCTTATGCAATGCAGAAATGCAGATGGAGACAGAGCTTAGTCTTGCAAAAATGTAGATGGAGACATAGCTTAGTCTCAGAAGGCAGAATGGTAGCCTTATGCAGGAAGTAAAGGCAAATAATAATAGAATTTTCTTAGCTGATAGTGGATTGCAATATTGCGACTTCTGGGGATACTGTGTCTACCAGGGATACTGCGTGCGGATAGCAGCTGTGAGTTAGTGCAACGGTTCTGAGAGTTGCATTTATGAGCAATGTGAGTCTCATGAGTTTACAGTATATTTGATGATTTTGCAACTCAAGTGCCTGCATCCAAAGAAAAATCGTGAGTTTTGTAAATGGAGGAGGTTAGTTTGTATTCCCGTTGGCTCTGCTTGACCTGGTCGGCTTGGATATGGTGATACTGTACGTATTATTAGGGTAGCGTTGCTAAACAAAGCGATTTCAGAAATAAACATGCATGATTTTGTAAAAAATATGACATAAGTGTATAATTAAGAACAACTTTGAGATGAACCGGCGACTGTGACATGGTCCAAGACATTGCAACCTTCCTTGTTACGGAATTTTGAGGGTCCTCCTCAAAATTCTGCCCCAGTTTACTGGGTTGCTGCTTCTGACTGCTGCTAGCGATGATTGGCTGAAACTAACTTCGGAATTTTGAGGGTCCTCCTCAAAATTCAGTCCCAATTTCCAATTACGGGGGGAAATGAAAGTTTTGTTGAATTGTGACCGAACCCATAGGTCTGCCTACGTATCCCCTCTTAAACGGGAATCAGGTCAGGCATAGTTCAAATTACATCATAAAGGAAAGCATAAAGATTACACATAGTAGCGCTTGACTGCATCTGAATTGATCGGCTTTTGCCAGACTTTTCCGTCCATTTCCGCAAGTATAAGGGCTCCTTCTGTTAGAACCCGGTGAACCATGTACGGACCCTGCCAGTTGGGAGAGAATTTCCCTTTGGCTTCATCTTGATGCGGGAAAATTTTCTTTAATACCAGCTGCCCCGGTGTAAACTGTCTTGGCTTGACTCTTTTGTTGAAGGCTCTGGACATCCTGTTCTGATAAAGCTGACCGTGGAAAACTGCATTCATTCTCTTTCCATCTATAAGATCTAGCTGCTCGTAACGATTCTTTACCCATTCTGCATCGTCTAGCTTTGCTTCCTGTATGATTCTTAATGTGGGAATTTCCACCTCGGTGGGAATGGCAACTTATGTACCATAAACCAGTATATAGGGGTTGCCCCGGTTGATGTGCGGACTGTGGTGCGGTATCCCAATAAAGCAAATGATAGATTCTCGTGCCACTGCTTATGCTTCTCTATCATTTTCCTTAGTATCTTCTTGATATTCTTATTGGCAGCTTCTACTGATCCGTTCATCTGAGGTCTGTAGGATGTAGAATTCTTGTGTTTGATCTTGAAGGTTTCACACATGGCTTTCATCAGGTCACTGTTGAGATTGGAACCATTATCAGTGATGATTGATTCTGGAATCCCGAACCGATAAATGATACGGTTGCGGATGAAGTCTACCACAACTTTCTTAGTCACTGCTTTGTAAGATGCTGCTTTGACCCATTTGGTGAAATAGTCGATTACTACTAGGATAAACTTGTGCCCGTTGGAGGCGGAAAGCTCGATTGGTCCAATAACATCCATTCCCCAAGCAGCGAAAGGCCACGATGAGCTTGTTGCAGTAAGCTCGCTTGGAGGTACCTTTATCATGTCTGCATGTATCTGACAGCAGTGGCATTTCCGGACATACTGGATGCAGTCCATCTCCATAGTCATCCAAAAGTAACCAGCACAGAGTATCTTCTTTGCTAAGACAAAACCATTCATATGTGGGCCGCAGGTCCTAGCATGGATTTCTTCTAGTAGTTTAGATGCTTCCTTCGCATCGACACACCTTAGTAATGCCAAATCAGGAGTCCTCCTATATAGGGTTCCTCCGCTGTGAAAGGGAAACGGGGAAAAATTGGGTATCAACAATACTATCATAGGTAAATGAGCTAGAGAGGCTATCGTGAGATAAGTAGAATAAAACATGGAGAGATACTCGACATTTGGTGATCAAACATGTAATCGAAACTTATACATATGTCGTACCGGTCCTATAAGGCCGGCATGATCCTTTATATACTCAAAACATAGGCCGACTAGGCCATACAAGAATCCGTATACATGATATCTGTCTACAAGACTCTAAGAATATATAATATCATAAAGGTCGGGACAAAGCCCCGCCATACCAAACAATACACATCTAAATTATACTGACCAAACAAGCGACTTCGGAGCAAATGTAGTGCACCAACATCTTCCGCTGAGCTGATCGCCTACTTGGAGGACTCTCGATCTGTCTAATGGGACATGCGGCATGAAACGCAACATCCACAGGCAAAAGGTACGTCAGTACAAATAATATACCGAGTATGTAAGGAATGAAAATCAGTAGATAATAGACACGAGAGAAACGTGGAGTAAAAGACTCGACATGTAAATCTGAATAGCTCTACGAAATCCTTTAATATTTAAAATGTCATGCATATACGCATAAATGTCATGTCGTGCATAGGTACATGTATTTATAACATCATCAAGCCTCTGAGGGCATCCCATCATAT